ACAGGGCACTTTTCTCGGTCTGGGTTTCATCTAATTTCCCAAGCCCTAAGCTCGAATTTCGGGCATAGACCACTGATTTGGGATTTTAAGCGTGCTCGAGGCGATATCTTGCCTTGATTAACCACAAAACCTCTAGATGGTGTCGAAGCATGGTGGAAGGAACAGGAACAACCACTCCATGGCTTCCTTCGCATATTTTACCCCTGTGATTCATTTTTTTTTTTTTTTTTTTAGCACCAGATAATCTTTTCCCCTCTCATAGGAGAGATTTGCATGATGATATTGAATTGGTCTTCTTTTTCTTTCTTGATATGGTCCTGACATGATATTACCCAAATTTGCGTGCATTCAACAATTAGTGAAGGTGCTGGAACTTATGCATTTTGTTCTTTCTTCCATTTTTGCAGGTGTCTGTGACTTAGTAGGCCTACCATGGCATCCACTGACCTTCCGCCGATCATGCTAGACCACCTCTACTCCATGGATGACAATCTTAAAGCAGAAGGGCCGCTCCTGTTGCTTGAAGATGCCCGTGAAAATCCCGTTGTTGGTGATGAGCCATCCCCTGAGACCGCTCCTGTAATTAATCCTGCCTCCATATCTAGATGCTGCATTGAAAAGGGCCTCTTTCCAGCCGTTCCCCTATTCTTCCAATATCCTTGCAGCATCAGTAAAGGTTGGTCAGAATGGGTCGACCGTGAACTGCGGGATCCATCCACATGCAACATCCTGCGCAGAGCACAAGTCCTTGAAGCCATCTTCCTTTCCAAATTGTGGGACATCCACATCGAAGCGAAGATGCTTTGTCACGTGGTCGGGAGGTGGAGCACTGCTACTCACACCTTTGTGTGCTCATGGGGGGAATTTACCCCTACCCTTGAAGATGTGGCGAATATCTCTCGCCTTCCTGTCTGTGGCGACCGTAGTCCTTTCGGCATTGTCCTCACTCCAGAAGAAATAGATAACCTTGCAGTCTTGTGAAGAGGCGCTCCCACCTCTCCCAGCACTTCACTCAGGTTTAGTAACTGGATACAATATTTTGGGGATGCAAACAGACAGGGTCCCTGCCGGTTGGCTGCCTTTATAGCTCTGTGGCTTGGGCGGTTCGTGCTCTGTGACTTTTCTCAGGACTGCCTTCATGAGCATGTATTTCCCTTGGCTTTGGCCATAGCCTGAGGCTATACCATCCCCTTAGCCCCATGTTCCTGGGACATTTATACCATCTACTTAATCGAACCCAGCTTCTGGAAAAGAGTGCATCAGGAGCCATGGGCGTGGAGACCCTCCTAAATTCTGGTTTCTTGCAGGTGTTCTTGTGGGAGCGTCTCAAAGGGTTGGATGTGCATTCACTCCCTCATTCGTATGCTATAAAGTTGGCTGACTGGGGCAATGGTTCATTTATGCCAAACAATCTCCCATTAGTTTGCAGGTGGTTCAAGAGAATGTAGAGGAAAGGCCAGAATTTCTTAAAGCTGCTAGACAATGTCGAGAATTTTGTCTTTCGTCCTTACGGCACCTCAGCAGAGACCTTCACTTTCGTGCCCTTCTATACTGACGTCAGTGATACGGTTGAGATTCCAGCAGCCGTATCGCAGAGTGACCAGTTCCGGAAGTATGCTTTATTGAATGTTGCTCCCATCCCCTTGCCTATTCTTGGGGATAATCGCGCAGAGATTTCCGTGACCTACTCTCCACACCGAGTCAGGCGGCAGTTCGGGCTTGACCAAGGGGTTCCCAGTAGTCCCAACCATGGTGACCCCTTTGCACTACACAGGATCTTCTGGAGCAACACATCCCAGCCAGTTGCAGGCCCATCGTTTTAGCGAGCAAGGCGAGGGTTAGTGGCTTCTCCAGAGGCTACCAAGCTTACTGGAACCGTTGCCTCACCTCCTTCCATTAGTTCCAATGCTCTCCCGGGGACAGATTGCCTCTTACAACAGCTCGTCTTGCAGGCTTGGTTTCGGAAGAGAAAGCCATCCTTCTTAGCCAAAAACGCAACTTGCCCTTCATTTCCAAGAGTGGTGACATTGTTGGAGAATTTCCTAAGACGAAGCCAAAGCTGGGAGTACAGAGTCCTGGCGGTTCCGAAAAAAGTGCAACGCCAGTGTCAGGCAAAAGGAAGCGAGAGGAGGAGCAAAATGTGAGTGAGAAGTAGACTGCCGGAAAACCCAAAAGGTTCATTCCAAAGGTAGCCCCAAGTGGCCCTCCTCGAACCAAAGAAGCAACTCCCCCGGAACATCCACAGTCTTCGAAGCCTGCTGCATCCGGGAGCCGGGGTCGTGCCTGCAAGGTGCTGGAAACTACCCCTCTCCGCCGTAAGTGTTCTCCACTTCCAGTACTTCTTCATGCCCCTCGTTTTTTGCTTTGCGTGTATGATATGTGGGTAGATACTTATTTATTATATACATATTTTTTTTTATAGGGAAAATGGGTACAACCCCAAAGAGAAAGAGAAGTGACACACCCCCGATATCTCCTCAGGTGACCCCTAAACGTCGAAGCGTGTGCATTCTACACGCAAGATCTTCTGGAACACGCACCAGTAATGTTGAAGCTGCCAGAACCCCAACTGTAGTGACAGTTGACGATGATAGTGATGATGATGACACCACCGAATCCGAGGCTAATGTTCCAGAGCAAGAGAACGTTGACGATGCTAGTGAAGATTCTGACAGGGACTTCAATGAGGGTTGCAGTGAGGATGCATTTTCTTATTCCAGCGACTATCCAGGAGGACAAGGTGGTCCAGATGTTTTCTTCGAGTCTGCTGGTAGCAGTACACGCCGTTTTAGCGCTGAGCAGGTAACTGACGCGTTTTAAGTTCTGTCCCCCTCTCCTTCCTTACACCATAATCTGTACACTCAACGCGTGCTCATCCTGCAGGTTATTGACATTGCTAAGGACCCAAACCCTGCTGCGGCCATTACTGATCCTGGCCGGAGCCCCCTTGAGGTATCCGTACCGATAATATTCCATTTACCTTCTTCTCCTACTCATCTGCCAATACCCATCACCTGTCAATTATCTCGTACTAATCTTTGCATGCACCCTTTTTTTTTTTTTTTTTTTTTGCAGGCTGAGCATGTCACTTCAAATTTGGAAATTGTGCCCGTAGTACCTTCTCCCTTCAACACATTCGATACACTGGTCGAGGCAGCCCTCGCAGGATCCTCTCCAACCATGACACCAACGGATTCTCGGGCTGAAATGCCTACGCTCCAAGTTACGAGCCCTTTACCACCTATCTTCCGGCATTTTCTCCAGAGGGACCTTGATACTGCCATTTCACCAGCCTTTCCAGCAGCCTTTCGGAGCAACACCCTTGCCGTCCACACAACCATGCCCGTTCCATCTCACGTTCAACCACTTCTCCAGGCGTCAGGGCCTAGTCCCCTAGCACTTCTTCCAGTGGTTCAATGTGACAATGCGAGCGCTGCTGAAAATGCCCAGGCTATCATTACCGTCGCCAGTAATGCTGCTGCAGAACATCCTCGTAGCATGTCTTGGCTGGAGTGGGAGGAATCATTTACTGGCTTCATGGCTTTCTTTGACAGTGGTGCTCAGGTCCTTCGATCCGCAGATGAACTCCTGCCGCTCTATCATCGGTTTAATGGTTACGCACTCTTCCGGGGAATTCTTGTTTATCCCGAGACGATCGCGGCTTTGGAGAAATTTCTAGACAAGTACGGGGATTTCATGGACATGACTGGTATTACCTCTTCCTTCTCGCGCTGTGCTGCTTTCCGGACCCTCAGCTTGGTGCTCCATGGGATGGATACCGTGCAGCTGCTGGACATTACTGATCACAGGCTCCTTTGCTGGTGGGATGCAGTTTGTGAGGCTATGACTCTGGGCTTTCGAGCAGAGTCTCTTCTGAACCTGGTGAAGGATTTGGCACGTGCTGCATTTGGGGCACGTGCTGCATTTGGGGCACGGGCTGTTCATAACATGAAGTCAAATCCCGGCCCTGATGAAATAAGGACAGCAACAGAGGCTTTGGTCTTCAAGCAGCGTGAGCTGGAAAACCAGCACAGGGAATTGCGTGGCCTCCTTTCTTCCCAAGGCGTCTCTTCTGACAGTGCTGACTGCGTGATGGAGGCAGTGACAAGATCTTCTCACAGGGCCTCCTCTGTTCCTTTCTAGCCATCCTTGATAGTACTTTGAGGTTCGTGACTTTTCGTCCTTCCTTCATTCTACATATGTTCAATGTTACTCTGATTTCTCCTGACATTCTTCTTTGTTCTGTTTTGCAGGTCGCATTTTGCTTGGTGTAGGATTGACTAGCTTGACACATTCTAGAGTTTTGTTCGAGATTGATGGACACATTACTCCTTAGCCTATATAGCTTGATTTGATTTATGTTGTAAAACTTGTACTGTGGCAGCTTGGCATTGTAGTGCTGTTGTGTTCTAGCTGCCGGACCCTATGTTCCCCCTTTTTTTTTTTTGCCAGGAACACATTGTAACTTTCGTTTAACATGTATAAAATGCCTGGTTGGTAGAATCCTTTACTTGAGTTTTTTTTTCTTCTACAGATTGGGTATCCTTTTGAAGTATGGTGGTTGTTGCCAAAATTTTGTTAGGATGGCCTTTTGACACTCTGCCTTATGAGCATGCTAGCTTCCTTTTGCGGGTGCTTAGCTTGGCTTGTTCCTTTTAATTTTGCCAACGCGTGAAAGCTGCTACAGACCTAGGATCCCATTCAAATGGCTTTGCTTGGCATGTCTTTTGCTAAGTAATATTTTCCCCCACTTTTTTTTTAAATATCCGACATATATTTATATGTAATTGTAAACGTATGTTCAAAAAGAAATTCGAGGTACGAAAAAAGGGCAAACTTCCAGAGACAATTTTTTTTCAAAATACTCCTTCATTTTCATTTCAAACCCCATGCTACCATGATGATACAAAAGCTTTTCAAAACAACGAGCATATAGAATGAGACAACATTTTTTAGATAGAAGGAAATGCAATAACATGAAAATAAGATATTATGCCTACTTAGCAGTAATAGGGCTTGAGCCATTTTCCATTGATGGGGTCCGTTAGCATGCCTTCCTTGACAAAGATCAAGCGATAATAACCGCTGCTGTGTACCTCCTTGACTGCGAATGGACCCTCCCATTGTGGGGCAAATTTGGAAGGTCCTGACATTTGCCTTCTCACATGTTCAACGACTTTTAGCACGAGATCTCCTTGCTTGAAGGCTTGAGGCTTAACGGTCCTGTTATAGGCTTGGGCAACAGTCTTGTTGTAGAGTGTCATCCTTCTTTCAGCTTCCATCCTTTTCTCATCAACTGCTTCGAGATCTAACAAACGCCAATCTGAGCATGTCTTTGCATCCCATTCAAGATCATTGACAGCTGCTATCCTGGCTGTCGGGATGGTGATTTCCACGGGTGAAATAGCCTCAGATCTGTACACAAGTGAGTAAGGTGAAAAACCTGTAGCGCTCCTTGGTGAGGTGCGATAAGCCCACAAAGCATCCGGTAGGTGAACACTCCAGCCTCCTTGATACTCATATACCATCTTGCTTAGAATCCTCAATATCGTTTTATTGGTAGCCTCCACTTGACCGTTTCCCTGCGGGTAATAAGGCGTAGAGCGACGATGCTTGATACCGTACCCACTAAGGGTTGAACTCACTTGCTTGTTAACAAAAGGTGTGCCATTGTCGGTGACCATCTTGTATGGGATTCCGAACCTACACACAATGTATTCCCGAATGAAATTCGAGACGGCAGCTCCTGTGGCCTTTCGAAGGGGAATTGCCTCAACCCATTTCGTGAAATACTCCGTAGCGGTGAGGATCCATATGTAGCCATCGGAAGGGGGATGGATTGTCCCAATTAAATCAAGCCCCCAAGTATGGCAAGGCCAGGGAGTGCACATGTCTTGCAGCTATGTAGGAGGTTTGTGGCTTAGATTAGCATGGATTTGGGATGTGTGGCACTTCTTAACAAAGTCATGTGCATCCTTCTTCATGGTAGGCCAATAATACCCAATGCTTAGTAGCTGCCGGTAAAGCTTCTTCATTCCTTGGTGCTCTCCGCACTCTCCAGCATGTATCTCTTGCATGGCTTAACGTGCCTCTGATTCTCCCAAGCATTTTAATGGCTCACCATTAAACCCCTTCCGATAGAGAGTTGACCCATCAACAAAATACCTTTTTATGGTCTTTTTGAGCTTATAGGCAAGCTTAGGGTTGGTTGGCAGAGTTCCTCAAACAAAGAATGCCAAGTCTGGAGTCCGCCAATCTTTTGCAAATGAAACAGTGAATGACTCCTCTATAGAGGGTATCATAGAACAGGCGAAACAATCGGACTGTAGTTCAGCTACTTGTTTCTTCATCTCTGGCCAATAATAACCTTTGCATTGCAAGCGCCGGTACAGGCTGATTACTGGTTCCAAGCCGCAAGTGGCATCGTGTACCTCTTGCAACCTCCTTCTTGCTTCTACCATCCCAACACACTGGGTCAGAACACCTCCCGGAAGACGTCTGTAGAGTTCCCCAAAGATAGTCACATAATCTTTCAAGTCTTTAATGCTGCTCTCTTCACCTAATTTTTTCTTCAACGGCTTTCTCCAATCATCCTCTTCCAGCAGGTCCCCCTGGGCCATTGCTTCGACCACTGGTGTGCTTCTCTTTATCACGGTGATGTTGGGCTACTCTTGCACAAATGAGAGCTTTGATCCCAATGTGGCCAAAGCATCAGCTTACCTATTGGTGGCTCCTGGAATGTGCTCTATCACGATTTGCTTGAAGGAATTAATGAGCCTTTCAGCAGCTGTTCGATATGGTGCCAAGGTTGCTTCCTTCATCGCAAAGCTTCCTTGCAATTGACTTAGTACTAGGTTCGAATCGCCGATGATCTTCACCTTTTCTGCGCCCATTTCTCTTGCTGTGGACAATCCCACAATAAAAGCTTCGTATTCTGCCACGTTATTCGTGCATGGAAAGTCTAGCTTGAATGAGAGAGCCGTAGCTTGCCCATTGGGATTAATGAGCACGACACCTGCCCCTCCACCTTTTGATATGGAAGACCTATCAAAGTAGAAGGTCCATGGTTCCTCCTCTGTCACAGTAGCAACCATTTCCAGCAGTTCTCCTAGGACTTCTTTGGAAAGGGTTGATCCTTCTACTTCGGGGAATAGAGCTAGCATGTCAATCACGGCTTGTCCCTTGATGGCCTTAGGAGTTGTGCATATGATATCAAATTCGGAAAGCTGTAATAACCAACGTGCGAGACGACCAGATAATACTGGCCTTGTGAGCAGATATCTTACGGGATCAGACTTTACTATGAGTTGTAACTTGTGAGCAAGGAAGTAGTGTTGCAAGCGCTGCGCAGCATAGACAAGAGCAAGGCATAAGAGTTTCGTTTTTGGGTACCTTGCTTCAGCTCCTCTCAGTTGTCGGCTTACAGAATAAACGGGGCTTTCCTCCCCGTCATGGCCATCCTGAGCAAGCAAAGCTCAAACCGCAGCATTCGTCGCAGCCAAGTAAAGCTTGAGTGGAAGTCCTGGAATAGGGAATGTATGACAATCTTCCCATAAAACTTTTCAACTCCTTTGGATTCTTAGGTGGTGCAAGAGAGCATATGGCTTTGGTTTTCTCAGAATCCACATCTATACCACGCTGGTGTACCTGAAAGCCCAGGAACTTGCCAGATGAGACTCCGAATGCGCATTTCTTTGGGTTCATTTTTAACCCATACAGCCGGCACCTTTCCAGCACCCGCCTCAGAACTCCCTGATGACTTTCTCTGGTTTTGGATTTTACTACGAGGTCATCCACGTAGTCTTCCACCTCTTTTCCCATCATATCATGACACACTGCCATCATGGCTCGTTGGTAGGTAGCACCGGCATTCTTGAGACCGAATGGCATGACCGTGTAGTAGAAATTTCCATAGGGTGTTCGAAAGGCTGTTTTCTCGGCATCCTTGGGAGACATCTTGATTTGATTATAGCCACTAAATCCGTCCATGAAGGATAGCATGCCTTGACCCGAGGTCGAATCAATCAAAATATCCATGTTGGGCAGCGGGAACTCATCTTTTGGGCAGGCTCGATTGAGATCACGGTAGTCTGTGCATATTCTGATTACCCCAGTTTTCTTCTTCATGAGGACGATATTTGCTAGCCATGTTGGGTGTTTGATTGGCTTGATGAATCCAGCGGCTAGCAACTTTTCAATTTCCACCTTGATTTGCTTCTCAATTTCAGGATGAAAATTCCTTCGTGGTTGTACAACAGGTCTTGCACCGAGCTCAATATTCAGCGTATGACTTACCAAGTTTGGATTAAGGCCGGGCATCTCTTCATAACTCCAAGCAAACACATCTCGAAATTCTTTCAATAACGACACCAAAGCTTCCCTTTCTTCCCCCGTTAAATGAACATTGACAGAGATGGGTCTTGGGACAGAGGGGTCATTACTTAAATTAATTGTTTCCAACCGCTCAGCTACTGCCGCTGAGCCATCTTGCATGTGCTTGGGTGCTGTCATTGGTTCTTGGAAAGGACAAGGCAAGGGTGCCTTGCCATCTAGACTCCCGCGGCTGTCTGCTTGCATAGCTTCTCCACCATACTCGGGGCTTTCCCGTAGGATACGATCAAGCCCCCAATTCCGTCATAAGCGGTATACAGTGTGCCCATCTGGCAGCGTAACCTTTGAGCATTGAGGATGATCGTAGGCATGGTTGTTGGCCTTCGAGTGTCTCTTTCTTTCTCGATTGACGATGGTTATGAGCTCCTCATTGCTCAGATCACGAATCTCGTTCCACGATGGCAGGTAAGTCCCAGAATTCTTGGATGGGTTGTTTCTGGCGTCTGTGCACTCAATGTAGAATTCTGCCTCTGAGTAGTGAGCTTCGCTTTGATTGAACAGTGCTTGATTCCCTGGTATACGGAGTGGTCTTAGCCCAATTCTTCCTTTTACACATTGATGGTACGTAGAGACCACAAGTTTATGTTTGTTGAGCCATGGCCTTCCCAACAAAGCATGATAAGCCACATCCACGTCCACCACATAGAACTTGGTAAGTGACCGGATGGGCCCTACCTTCAAATTTACTTGCATATATCCGACCGTAACCTCACTTTGATTCCCAAAACCACTAATGCTCATCTAGGACTGCACGATCTTGGATAGTGGAATACCAGCTGCTATAAGTACAGACAGAGGCAAGATGTTAACAGAAGAACCTGTGTCTACCAGAGCCCTCCGTATGAGCACATCATTGATTTGTCCCTCCAGGTAAAGTGGCCTCCTATGATCCGGGTATGGAACTTCCATATCCTCGTCTGTGAAAACAATAGCATTGTCATTTTCCAAGAATGACCTTTGAGGTTGAGCAGTGAAGCAATGGGGGTTGGCTCCTGCAGAAATATTCATAAGGATTCCTCTGGAGGACTTAACTCTAGGATTCCTCTGGAGGACTTGTGAAGCTGTGGGTCCTTGCTTCGAGCCTAGATATTGCTCCATTACAGTCGCCTCAGCTTTTGTAAGGGTGTGAAATGTCACAGCAGACGTTTCCTGCTGTCCGGACGAGGCTCTCTGGCATTGTTCTTCCGGCATGTCCAACATGAACACCCCATTCTCTGCACAGCCATCCCATCCATCAGCGAGTGGCCATGGCGTATCGTAGCTTGACGGTTTTGAGTATTTGCACTAGTAAGCTTTATCCATGTTTCCACAAGGCTCCCAAATAGCCTCTGGTGGCTTTGGATCATTCCTCCATGGGTGGCACAATTCGTCATCGTCAAGCAAATCATCTGAACACGTAATAACAGCAGCTGTTTCTTTCCCCCTCCGTTTTGGCAAAGGGTCCTCATCAATAGCCTGCTTCCTAGAGGGAAGCTCAAGAACTCCCTCATGTATTTTGCCATGTAAGATCCTCCTTAAACTCTGACAAGCGGTGGTCGGATGTCCTACAAACTGGTGGTAGCGACAGTATCTGGGATCACTTTTTTCTTCCATGGTGGGGACCTTGTAGGGCCTGAGAGGTTTGATTGTGCCGTCAGCAATCGTTGTGTCGAGGATGGCATGAAACTCTTCATCTTTGCAGGGCAATGGCGGGTACATCTCCCTATCTTTTCGTTTGCATGAGCTGTAGTCATTAGATGGCTTCTCATCCGTGGCTAACACCTGATGTGATTCCTTCTTTTCACTCCTCCAGCCCCTTTGTCCAGTCGGTTTGACAGACATGCTTGTCTTTCTTACTGCTTCCAGCAGCCGGGAAAATTGGCTGATGCCAATATTTTCCAAGTATACTCTATAGTCTGCCACAATGTTGCTAATGCAAATCTCAACAAGTGCCTCCTCATCTTTTTCGTCATAGCAATCGAGAGCCAAGTCCCGAAATCTTCTCACGAAGTCCACGGGATCCTCCCCTTGCATTTGGCGAGTGTTGTTGAGCTGCGTGGTGGTAACCCTCTCCTCGTGCTGAAAATATTTTTTACAAAACCTGCTTGCCAAATCGTCCCAAGAACGCATAAAGCCTGGTGCCAATGTGGTGTACCATGTATAAGCCCGATCGGTGAGGCTTTTTGAGAATTCTCGGAGTCGCAGATTATAATCACCGGCGTGTGGCCCCAAAGCGTCAAGGAATCGGTTGACATGTTCCTTCGGGCTTCCTTTCCTCCCATCGAAGAGAACAAAGGTTGGTGTTTCGTAACCTTTGGGATAGGGCTGCTGGAGTAAACTTGCTGGGTACGGTGGCTGAGGAATGTACTTCCAATCCTCATAACTTCGACTAAGCTCCTTTTCCAGCATGGCAACGACATCCTCCTGAGTGACAAAAGACGGTCCCCTTTGTTCAGACCCTTTTCCAGCAGCGGCAGATTCTTCTTGCGGACGTCTATCCTCTTCGTTTGGCTTGGAAGCAGCATTTTTTAATTCTTTGATAGTGTCCATCATCTCCTTCTGGGTTTCCCCCATGGCCTGCATAGCTGTGATGAGATCAGTGAGGGTGAAGGCTTCCTCACTTGCATGTTCTTGTCCTCTAGAGGAAGCATTTTGCCCTGATTCAGAATCACCATGGTCGGGTCCATCTTGGGAGGCCATGGTATTGCTCCTGGTTTTCTTTCTTGGAGGCATCAGTAAAATGGCAGCTTGGTCCCCAGCAGAGTCCCCAATTTATGTAGGGGGTTTTTTGTTCCAGCAGCCTGACGAATGGGCCTGGGCTGCTGTAAGAAGAAAACGAGTAAAATCCCCCAAATGCTTGAGTTCGAAACCAAGCTCCCAAGAGAGTTTTTAGAAAATCTGATGGGATTTTAAAAGAACACTCTCAGGATCACTTTACTAACACCCAAATAAGCGTGATGATTTCGCTAATGACTTAGCCTGAGGAGCATGTGGCATGAGAGCTAAGCTTTCACGAGTTTGGCAGTTTGAGAGAGAGAGAACAGCATGAATTTCTTACAAAGGATCAAATCTAAACTGAGAACGAAGGAAAACTTAGCAAGGTTTTATCTCAGGGGAAGAAGAAAACAACGGAGAAAGAGGATTAGGTGGCTTGAGTAGATTCCAGGTTGCTTGACAAAGCTTGGTCAGGCTCTGGATGGTTGATTTTTCTGGGTAGCAAAAGTCTCCTTTTATAGGCATTAAGAGCTCTAATTTTGTCTGGTCTTCCTTTCCCTTTTCTCTTGGCAGCTCCTACTTAGTCCTATTTTCGTGCAATTCTCTTATCAAGGCATATGGGAAAGGAACCATTGTGGTTCCAACAAGTTTGACGCAGCTGGACCTCCCCACAAGGGTGAGGCGCCACTTTGCTTTCTCTCAGTGTTTTCAAAACAGAGCTTGTAATGGGGAAGGAGATAGGTGGAGCCTTTTATCTGAGGGGTATTTCTGCTGGTTCTTGCCTTGACCCTTTGTCTGACTTGCTTGGAGTCTTATCAGGGGTGGAACACGATGACAGCTTTTGTACAAGCTGCTGGACTGGGCCTTGTGCGTGACTTTTAGGCTGCTGGCCTATTATTTCTAGTGAATTTTTGTCAAACTGCTGGAAAGGGCTTTTAATTCTATTGATGTGGGTTGGGCTAAGCATGTTGGTGGGTTTTTGGTGTCTTCCTAGAGCATGGGGCAATTTTTCTCTTCTCTTTCATGCCAACCCATATGCTTGGGTTCTAGGAACGGGCTTGAGTTCCAAAGCCCCCAAGTGACTTTGAAACCTACGTTCCTTGAACCCTCAATGGGCCCCGTGATTGCTTGTTTCCTTCCATACCACAACCTTCTCATTAAGCCCCGGTTAATTTTGTGGCTTGGGGTCCACTTAAGCTCGTGACGTAGCTCGGTATTAGAATGCGCATGATTTCTATGCTCGTGCTTTGGGTTTTATTATGCTGTGATAGGCTATAGTTGGGCCAAGTAGCACCGAATGAGCATGTGATCGTGATTTAGTAATATCAGTATGTTGTTGGCTCCTTCTGCACGTGCTTGTTTAGCATGATTTGTAGCTTGTAGCTTGTGTTGGCGGCTCTTATAAATTTTCTTTTATCCCAATTGAGCTTATTTTGCATCCAATCACCCATATTAGGCCAAGGGTTAATTTGGGCTTAGCCCCTTGGATTTTTGGGCCTCAACACATCTCAGTGGCCAAATTATCCCTCCCTGTGGACCATTGGTCGGATGCGGCAATGGTATCAGGATAACAGAGAACTCCATATCAAAAAATGGTTCCCTGAACACCAAATGCTAATGGAATCCATTAACACCATTCATTCTGCATTATCTCCAGTATATATTGGACCATTCTAGGCGTTGTGGAAAGTCCAAATTGTAACTATGTTGATTGCATAAGTAACAGCAGAATACACACCTCACTGGGCTTGCCCCATAATCTGCGAAAGTAGAAGTCTGACTCAGCTGCAAGAATTCCTGGTGGTAGTCTTTCTGCTCCTCTAGGATTTGACGGCACCCAAATCTGCAGGCAATGTAAGTGTTAAACTTCAGATAAGTAATGCCTATACAATGAGAATTTGGAATGCCAGAAGAGGAAGCTGTGAACTATATTGGAAATGATACTCATATTTTTAGCAATTATCAGGCCTCTCCTCATAGTAAAACAACATGAAAACGAAACAAAATAGTCCCAGCATGCAAGTACAAGATTGCATATATGATTCAGTGATTACATGAAGCCACCTCATCTTACAAGGAATATAAAAGTAATAAGAGAAGATTGTGAACAATATCAGGGAAATGAAACCCCTTCTTTCTCAATCTGTCTCTTCTCCAAATCATATCAATGAGAGCGGGTTCAGTTGAGAATCATGGCTCCCACACTAAAATCCAAGAACTACAACAATTAACCTTGGAAAGATTTACTTCCATTTTAAGGAACTCCTTATTGAGCTTAATGGAATGATGATCAAACCATCAATACTATTAAACCAGATCAATACTATATATGTTAGTGTTACTCAAATTAAAGATTGTTAAATTGGCAATGTCCAGTTTACTAAATGCTAGAAATTTTGACACAACTAATGGCACTTAAGCCTATTTAGATTCTTTGTCAATCTAGTTTCTGCTTGAACATAAATAAATAACTACACCATTTCCTTTCTTCAACACAATAAGCTTTTCAGAAATTGAACCCAGAACCACAAATCATAAAAGGGGTCTATCTGATGCCAAATTCAGCAAAGAAGCCTAAGCCATTAAACTTAACAAATAAAAGAAAAAGAAAAGAAAAGAAAAAAGGTATTTGTAAAACAGAAAAGATGGAGAAAAAATAACGTACTGATCCTGAAGATTGAGCAAGGACCCTAGAAAACCCACACCCCAAAACGCCAAATCAAAGACCCTAGAAAACAGTTAATCAATGACCCTAGAAAAACCCAAATCAAAACCTAAAAAGATAATGCAGAATATTAGCATAATGAACAAAAAAAATACTCACATGGGTTTGATTTCTGAATGCGAAACTTCTGCACAATCTGGGTTTTCTAAAGATTGAATGACAAAAACTTGTGGTTCAGCTTGGGGCGAAGACGTAGGGCAGAGTCGATGAGATGTGAAGACGTAGGGCAGAGTCGATGAGGTGTGAAGACGTAGAGCAGAGGCGATGAGATGTGAAGGAGGAGGCGGAGGCTTTGAAACCCGTGGTTCAGCTTGGGTTTACAAAACCCTCATATGATGGATTCTTATCCGGAGAAAAAAAAAGAAGTCACAACCAGTCCAACATGCAATTTAGATTCACCAAACAACGGCTAGGACTATAATCCATTTTAATTGGAAAAGTCCAGTCCAGCCCACCAAACGGGGCCTCAAGGTTTTTCATGCCTGAGAAGCTGTTTGCATTCAAAGGTATGTCATCATCATCTTCAGGAAAATTTACTGCGATGCCTTTAACTTCATTCGTCCCCTGTATTATTAAAGCCGTCATATATACATAAAAATACAAGTACTGCTTAGAATTCTATTTTCTTCAGACTTTGATATGAAATCTATACAAAAAGTTACTTGAAGCCTTTTTCTCAACCGAATATAAGAATGTGTAGACACATAAGCATATTCTACGTACCGTATTTTCAGTTAGAACCTCATGCACATCCTCATAACAACATAATTTGCTGCGTCTACCAGGCTCATTGGGAGACTTTTCATGAACTATATCCTTACCCATTTGTTCAAGTAACTCGTGCATCAAAATCCTATTGTCTTCAATAGTTATGATGGCATTGTTAAGATTTTATCTAGTTACAGCAGTTGTTTTTTAATTAAATAAACTGATTATCCTATTCTGTAGGAAGTCATGTTGCACATTGTTATGTTTACCAAGTCTTTAGGAGTCTCCCAGTAGTGGAGCAGTTTGTTAATTGTGTCAGTAATGGATTAAGTTAGTAGGAGTCATGTCCTTATTGAATTTAGCATAGTCTGGTGATGTAACGTTCTATTTAAGTTCAACTTTATCAATATACAAATTACACTTTCCAGCATCTCTTCTCACCCGTGTTTGGATTTTGAGTTTAACTCTACATCTGGTATCAGAGCTCCCTAATGGGGCCCGACGTAAAGTTCCCACAAAAGCAGTAAGCTATTATTGCACTTACAGTAGTAAGTTACTATGGCGTCTGACAAGGTTACAGACAACTATGTGCAGCCGGCCATACCATGCTTTGATGGTCATTATGATCATTGGAGCATGTTGATGGAGAATTTCCTGAGGTCTAAAGAATACTGGACTCTCGTGGAAACCGGTATAGTAGAGCCAGAAAGTGGAGTGGTGTTGACGGAGCTACAACAAAAGAAATTGGATGAATCTAAGCTGAAAGATTTGAAGGCGAAAAATTACTTATTCCAAGCTATTGATTGTTCCATTTTGGAGACCATTCTCCAAAAAGATACTTCCAAGCAAATTTGGGATTCCATGAAGAAGAAGTACCAGGGCTCAACAAAGGTGAAGCGCTCAATGCTGCAAGCACTGAGGAAAGATTTTGAGACTCTTCAGATGAAGCAAGGAGAGTCTGTTAATGATTATTTTTCAAAAGCAATGGCAATTGCAAACAAAATGAGTATCCATGGCGAGAAGATGGAAGACGTGACCATTGTAGAAAAGATCCTGCGATCTATGACTACAAAGTTTGATTACGTTGTGTGCTCCATTGAGGAGTCAAATGACGTTGAGAAGCTTTCAATCGACCAGCTGTAGAGTTCCTTGCTTGTTCATGAGCAGAAGATCAATCGGAGTACATCTAAGGAACATGACTTGAAAGTTTCAACAAATAGTGATTCTCCGGCAGCAAGAGGTCGTGGTGGTCGTGGACGAGGACGTGGTAAAGGCGGCAGCCATGGAAGAGGTCGAGGTAGCAGAGATGGGAACAAATCCAATGATGATTCCGGCAGCAAAGACACTCATGATTCCAGCAGTAGCAGCAGAGGCTATTATAATTCTGGAGGCAACAGTAGCAGAGGCCGAAGGCATTCAAGCAATCATGATTCGAATGTCGACAAATCAAATGTCGAGTGTTTCAGGTGTGGCAATTATGGTCATTACAGATCTGAATGTTACACAAATATGAATAAAGCAAAAGGTGCAAGGGCGAATTTTGCAGAAAAAGAGAAAGAAGATGATGGGGCTATTCTAATGGTGTGTCAAACCATGGAAAAACCACAAAAGAATGTGTGGTACTTGGATACAGGTTGCAGTAATCACATGTGTTGAGAAAAGTCAATTTTCTCTACCTTAGATGAAAGTTTCACAACTACAGTGAGATTTGGAGATGATAGCAAAGTTTCAGTTTTGGGAAAAGGAGATATCAAAATTTGGGCTAAAGATAACACTGTCCATATTATCTCTAGTGTTTTCTTTGTTCCGAGTTTGAAGAGCAATTTGCTGAGCTTGGGACAACTGCATGAAAAAGGATATGAGATCAAGATTACAAGAGGAGCTTGTCAAATTCATGACCAAAAGAGGGGCTTAATTGCTAAGGCTTACATGACGACAAATCGAATGTTTCCATTACATATTCAAAGTGATGGTCCTACATGTTACTCTGCCAAGGTCAATGATCCAGCGTGGCTGTGGCATTTACGCTATGGTCATTTGAATTTTAGAAGTTTGAAGACGCTACATGATAAGGAGATGGTGACTGACCTTCCTCAGATAACATGTCCAACTGAAGTTTGTGAAGTTTGTGTTGTTGGAAAATAGCATAGGGAAACCTTTCCGAAGGGAAAAGCATGGCGGGCTAGAAGACCTCTTGAGCTGGTCCATTCAGATATTTGTGGGCCAATAACTCCAGCTTCCAACGCCGGAAAAAGGTACTTTATAACGTTCATTAATGATTACAGCAGAAAAACATGGGTTTCTTTCTTACAGGAGAAATCAGAAGCCTTAAATGCATTCAAACACTTTAAGGCAGCTGTTGAGAAGACGATCAAGGTTCTTCGAACTAATCGTGGTGGAGAATACAATTCAAAAGCCTTTGAAAATTTCTTTACTATACATGGGGTTCGCCGACAACTTACGGCAGCTTATACACCACAGCAGAACGGTGTGGCGGAGAGGAAGAATCATACCATTTTAAATATGGTACGCAGTATGCAGACAAAGAGTTGCATTCCAAAGAGTTTCTGGCCGGAAGCTGTAAACTGGGGCATTCACATACTGAACAGAAGTCCAACTTTTGATGTTCGTGATTTGACACCTGAAGAGGCATGGAGCGGCCGTAAACCAGCAGTTGGTTACTTCAAAGTTTTTGGCTGCATTGCATATGCACGTATTCCAGACGAGAAAATGAAGAAGCTTGATGACAAAGGTGAAAAATGTGTCTTTCTTGGCACAAGTGAAGTTTCCAAGGGGTATAAGTTATTCAATCCCTTGTCCAAAAAGATTATTATTAGCCGAGATGTTGTATTTGATGAAGAGAAGACATGGAATTGGAGTGATGATGTTTCTCTGCAGCAACAAAACATGCTAGTCAATTTTGATGACAACGTGGAACAACAACATCCGCAACAATGCATTCCGGCACCAACTTCGTCAGTTGTTCCAGCACCAACTTCTTTAGTTGTTCCAGCACCAGTTGTTCCACCAATTGGAGTCCAGTCTGCAAGTTCATCTAGTGCATGACCCCAACGTTTAAGGAAGCGACCTGCATGGATGATAGATTCTGAATGGGTGTTTGATTCCGTTAGTGGAAGTGAAGGAAGTGATGATGATCCACTTGTTCACTTTGCTTTGTTTGCAGATTATGATCCTGTGTTATTTTTTGATGCTGTAAGAGAACCAAAGTGGCAAAAAGCCATGGATGAGGAAATCAAATCTATTGAGAAGAACAATACTTGGGAGTTGACAGAGCTTCCATAAGGGCACAAGACGATTGGTGTCAAATGGGTCTTTAAGACAAAGTTGAATGAGAAGGGTGAGATTCATAAGCACAAAGCACGCTTGGTGGCGAAAGGTTACAAGCAAGAGTACGGCGTTGACTACACAGAAGTCTTTGCGCCAGTGGCAAGGCATGACACAATCCGATTGGTGATTTCAATGGCAGCACAGAACTCTTAGCCTATCTTCCAGCTGGATGTGAAGTCTGCGTTTTTACATGGTGAGTTGCAAGAACAGGTTTATGTTGAGCAGCCAGCAAGCTATGTTCAGCTAGGGAAGGAAAAACAAGTTTACAGGCTTAAAAAAGCTTTATATGGGCTAAAGCAAGCTCCCAGAGCCTGGTACAGCCGCATAGAGGCATATTTTGCAAGAGAAGGATTTCAAAAATGTCCATATGAGCATACACTCTTTACAAAATCTTGAGAGGAAGGGCAGATACTCATCGTGTGCTTGTATGTGGACGATCTGATCTATACAGTTAATGATGTGGCCATGTTTAATGATTTTAAGAAATCCATGATGCATGAGTTTGATATGTCTGATCTTGGATTGATGCACTATTTTCTTGGTCTAGAAGTAGTACAATCTAGTGCCGGAATATTTATTTCACAGAAGAAATATGTTCAAGAGATCTTAGACAGGTTTGAGATGAAGGATTGCAATTCAGTTTCTACGCCAACTGAAATTGGCTTGAAACTAGTGAATAATTCTGGGGAGAAGAAGGTTGATCAAACTCTCTACAAACAGATTGTAGGAAGTCTGATGTATCTGACAGCAACTAGACCAGACATACAACACGCAGTGAGTCTCATTAGCAAATATATGGAGTGTCCGGAAGTGCCTCATTTGGCTGCAACAAAAAAGAATTTTTCGTTACCTAAAGGGCACAATTGATTTTGGAATATTATACAAGAAAGAAGCTAAATCAGGTTCGTTTGGCTTCATTGATAGTGACTATGCAGGAGACCCAGATGATAGGAGAAGCACCTCAGGTTATGCATTTATAATGGGAGCAGGAGCTATTTGATGGTCATCCAAAACACAACAGTTTGTCACTCTGTCAACCATCGAAGATGAGTTTATTGCAGCAGTAGCCTGCGGCTGTCAAGCTATTTGGTTGAGGAGGATACTTTAAGAATTACGTGGTTTGCAAGAAGATCCAACTCCTGTCTATTGTGATAACAATTCAGCAATCAAGTTGTACAAGAATCCAGTTTTACATGGCAGAAGCAAACACATTGATGTTCGCTACCATTTCCTGCGCAACCTCACAAAGGATGAAACAATTGATTTAATCTACTACAGAAAGTGAAGATCAACTGGCTGATATTCTAACCAAGCCTCTCAAATTACCAGCGTTCTCGAAGTTAAGGAAATTGTTAGGAGTTTGCTCTATGAAGGATATTGCTTGAAGACAGAAGCTATAGTGCACGTTGAAGGTCTCTCTCTAAACTGATTGTTCAAGGAACATTTAGTTTAAGGGAGGGTGTTAAGATTTTATCTAGTTGCAGCAGTTGTTTTTTAATTAAATAAACTGATTATCCTATTCTGTAGGAAGTCATGTTGCACGTTGTTATGTTTACCAAGTCTTGAGGAGTCTCCCAGTAGTGGAGTAGTTTGTTAGTTGTGTCAGTAATATGGATTAAGTTAGTAGGAGTCATGTCCTTGAATTTAGCATAGTCTGGTGATGTAACGTTCTATTTAAGTTCAACTTTATCAATATACAAATTACGCTTTCCAGCATCTTCTCACCCGTGTTTGGATTTTGAGTTTAACTCTACAGGCATTCTCTACGAGCTCTTGAACACAATTCTCAGGAGATTCAAGCTTGTGACATTTTAGTACTTGAATCACATAGTCCATATCTTTACCCTTGAAAAAGAATGCAATGTCAAGGAAAACTTGTTGCGCACGATTTGTCAAACCACCATAACTTGTTCTAAGTATGTTCTGAATTTCTTCAAATGGACGAGCTTCATAACTATGTAATGTAGAATTCCAATACTAACTACTGATTACGTAGATGTGAACCTAGCATTGAGAGAGCCAATGGAAGGTATTGGGCACAGGCTATAATAGCACGCCTTGCGAGTAACAAATAATCATTTGGAGGCTCCTTTCTTTTGAAGGACATCATACTGAAAAGCTCAAGTGCATCGTGGAATCTAATGTCTTCACCTCATAACCTCAAGTCCATGACGTGGTAGCAAGCCAATCAACGTCGCCTGCTGAATTGTTTAACTGGTCCAACTGATTCACATCATCAAGAGTTAAGAGAATCCTTTTATGTCTCAAAAATGCATGAAAAATGTTGAAAAGTCTCGCTCTTGCACACTGAGGGATTCCCTCCCTTACTCAATCAACCACAGCGCCTTATCCAACTCGCTACGGCTGAGTTTGTGTCAAGTTTTTGTTTACACCTTCAACTTGTAATATTTATAAGGTCTTTAAAAATGTCTGCAAGCTAATATTATCTAAGATAAATTTCCATATTAAAAAAATTCCCTAAGAATAAATTTAAGCATATATTTAATGTTATTTATTATTTTATAATGGAGTAGTATTTTGTTGTTGTTATATATTATGGAGTTTTATTATTATTCACTTCGAGTTTTAATATTGTTCATTATATGTGATACTAAGTTTGAATTTTAATAGGAATTCTTTCTATGTGGTACTAAGTTACTCATACATTTTATCTTTGTTTTTTTGGTTAAGCTTATATATTTAAGGGAGTTTCACTAAAACACCCAAAATGGGGGTTGAAATTATAAAAAAACCCAAGTACTATTTAAACATATAAACACACCCAAAACCCATCATTACACACACTCAAAATCTATTTATAAACACACCCAAAAAGTTGACTTTGGGGTTGATTTTGGGTGTGTTTCTATGTTTAAATAATGCTTGGGTTTTTTTTTATAAATACAAGTCTAGGATTGGGTTTATTTATAAATTTGTATATATTTAATCATATGTATCAAGTGTAATATATTGACGTGAATTATTATAACTAAAAAATTATGGTGTGTTTAATTTTATTTCACTAATTACTATATATTTTCTAAAGTCACAGTGTTTGTCAGGTTGCTGCATAATCAACTTAAATCACTCAAACCCACTATGTCATGCATTTCCTTCCAATTTTTTGTGATAAAATAATAGACAATTGACTAAGTAAACATCCTCTAAAGTTTCAATAAAAATTTCCAAGTTCTTCTCACAATTTCCGTGATTTTTATTCAATTTTTATCGATATCGATATTTCCTCGATATTTCCATCGATATATCTGTGTTTTTGGACCACCGATATTTCCAAAACTCCCGATATTTTAGACCTTGATCAAGAGTAATCAAGTTGAAGTCTTTGTCTCCTAGGACCTGACAAAGAAGATTCTTTTGTAGTTGTTTGGACCTAAAATACACGCGCCAGCCCAATTGATTATTGGCCCATGTAAAAAACAGGAGTTTGAGCTTTGTTTGTTAAAATCAAAGATCAGCCCAGATGGTTTTTAAGGCCCAAGACTGTTGTAAAACAATTTGCAAGGATTAAATTCACAGATTAAAGATTAATTGCCATTAATGGTGATTTAATGTGGACAAATCAGTTTTTTAATTGGTTTAAAGAATAGGCCCAGCTTCTAATCTCTCCAAAAGCTCAAAAAATTGATCATCACCATCGATCTAAATTCCAGAGTTGAAGTCAGCAGATTTTTTAGGAAGATATTTTCTCTCAAAAAGCCCACATGACTCTGAAAGTCAAAGTTTTCAACTGTGCAGAGGAAGTGATGGGGAGTTAGTAAAAGGGGATAATCAGAAGAACACTCCCCATAACCATTTAAATGCCAGAAAAGGAAGGCCATGTTTCCTTTCTATGCTCGTGTGGGCTCTACATCAGAGCAGGTTGTGGTTACAAAAAATAAACATAGAGACAGGAAAGTTGTTCGTCAGAAATGCAAATGGACCATCATAGAAATTGACTGTTGATGGGTTGTTTGTTGGTTGGTTTTTTGTCAAACTAATAACTTCCCCCTTATCTTGCGATGAAAAAAGAAAAAAAATCCTTTCAAAAGATCTACTCTCCAGATACTAAAGATTAAACACTAATACAGAGTTTCTATAAATATGAGAGGAGTTGAACAGGGTTGAGGACGGCCAAAAAAATCAATCAAAATAAAAACTATCAAGTCACATTGACAAACTCAAAACAAGATCCTTCGATCTCAAAAGCCTTCAGACTCTGGAGCAACCAAGCTCTTTAATTTATAAGAGACAAATCAATTAGAACTCAGGTGTCTGGCTTCAACTCAACTTAAAGAAGTAGTTCACAAAGGAAACAAGATTTCTATCGTTACAAATTTGGTTCAGCATAACCAAATCAAGTAGAACTCAGGTTTTTCATAATATGAAAACCTCAACAAATTTACAGAGATGCCTTGATCTATCAGAATTGCCAGAATAGTTTTTGGACGATTCATAATCAAGTAGAACATGTTGTATAATGCAGCTCCAGGTCGGCAATCATCAATCTAGCCACTTCCAGCCCCGTCCATACTGAAGAAATCTCAATTCTACCCATCCAGCAAGTCTCCCCATGGCTAGAATAGATTAAAGCTCTACTAATCTCAACATTGGTATCGATTTCCAGCTAAACCTTATCAGTTGAAGGTGCTAACGTTTGAATCCAGCGTAAACACATCAAATCCAGCCCAAGTCACAGGCTCCAATCCAAGCAGAAATCGAAGACCAAATTTTCTGTTGTCCTTTCAAACGTGGCAGTTCCCTTTGTTTTAAATTGTGTAATAGGCAGTTTCTTTTTAAAACAGTTTGATTTATTTTTAATATTCATTTGGGCCAGAACTACTAGTTTACTGTGAGAAATTGTGAAGTCCTCACCAGTCTGAGGTAAGAAAAGAACTTACTTAGGAGATATTCCTCACCCAAATTGACAATCATTTGTTTAAAGTTAGTAACTTGGGGTGCAAATTTTCATAAGTTTGTTAGGGTTTTTAACTGCTAACAGTTGCACGCTTGCACATCAAAGAAAGTTGACTTGTTGATCACGAATGGTTCTCAAGCTAATGGGAAACTTTACTCTACCATCAAAGGACTAAATCAAAACGGGTGAAAAGTAGTTCGATTAGTCCATACACTGATGACTTTTCTCTAACATCTGCCAGAAAACAAATACCTTCAAACTTGCGTGCAATTAAATTATAAACCGTTTAAGCATGTCGTCTTGCCTATTCGCGATCAGAGATTTCTAGGAGCTATTCCATGTGTGTCCTCTTCCTTCTAAAGAAATTTCTTTATTTTTAAGCAATTGGGACCCATAAATTCATGCATATTTGTTTGCAAAATCACAAAACTCCTTTAACTTTTGAAAAAAAAAAAAAAACATAAATTTTTAATTTTTTTTGGGTTAAAACTTTTAATATTTCTTTATCCAAAGTTGCCATGAAAGTTTATGCATAATAATTATTGCACTTCACTTAGTCATGCTTCAAGTATTTTTATTGATAAGGTAGCTATACTTGGATGATTGTGGAGAAATAGTGGAGACTACCATTATGAGATATTTGGGCCGAATTGCCATTTCTTGAGAGAGTATTTGGGATTATTCTTTTTCACTATTTTTTTCTTTCTTATTTAGATTGATCTCAATTTGGCTTTTGAATTGAATACTAAGAACTAATCTTTGTTTTTTTTTTTGGTATGAATTATCTTATGCCTTCACTTTTGAGTTGGATGGACCTTGAGAGATGATGTTAGGCTATACATGTTCTAACCAATGAATAAAGCCTCACGTCCTACCCATTGTGTGTGTCATCAACCCCTTGAAGCCAAACACTTAGCATTTTCTTTCATCACCCACAATATTTCCTTACCATTTTCACCCTATTTTTAGCCACACCCTATAACTTGGGAGATGCCATGGCACATGAAGACAAGGATGAAGGTTTACCTCTACATCAACAAAATAGGTGGTGTGTACTGAGGAAATATGTACTTAAAGTTCAAGAA